GAACCCGTTCTACACTTCCCTACGGATCACGGGGCATGGCGGGTCGAAGCGGACTCTTCCGACTTCGCCACCGGGGCCGTTCTCTCGCAAGAGCAAGAGGGGAAGTGGGTACCGAGGGGAAGTGGGTACCGATCGCATTCCTCTCCCGGGCCATGAACGACACCGAGCGCAACTACGACATTCACGACAAAGAAATGCTCGCTATCATGCGGGCCCTCACCGAGTGGCGACATTATCTCCAGAACGGGGGAGATAAGCCGTTCAAATCTGGACCGACCACAAGAACCTGGAGTACTTCATGACTGCTAAAAAAACTGAACCGGCGGCAGGCACGATGGTCACTCGAACTGACCGAGTATCACTTCTCCTTGCTGCATAAGCCGGGAAAACGAACGGGCGGGCCGACGTTATCCCGGCGAAACAGGTACGACAACGGGAAAGAGGATAACCAGGATATCGTCCTACTACCGGGCGGGGCTATTCAAGGAACACGCGATCCGCGCTATGCTCACACTGGAGCATACGGAGGGCGACGGGCTGATGGACTCGATCCGACGGGCCGAATCGGCCATGGAGGAGAAGGTCCTCAAACTCTGGGAAGAAGGAGAACCGGAAGGCTGGGAACAGCATGACGGCTTCAAGACTCGGAACGGACTCGTATACGTACCCCCCAGCTATGGGACTGAGGCATCGGGTGCTACGCCAACACCATGACATCCCTATCGTGGGACACCCAGGGTGGCATCGAACCCTCAAACTGACGACCCGCAACTACTGGTGGCCGTCTATTCAGACCGATTGCCAGGCGTACGTACGGGCCTGCCTGTTGTGCCAACAAACGAAGATATTCCCGAGACGCCCCGCAGGGACCTTGGTCCCGAATAGCGTGCCGACTCGGGTATGGCAGCGCATATCAATCGATCTGATCGTGCAACTACCCGAGTCTTCCGGATACAACGCAATCCTCGTGATCGTCGACAGACTGGGTCAAGGGATACGTGTACTCCCGTGCACGGGAAACATCTCCAGGGAAGGAGTCGCTCGGCTATATCGTGATCACGTCTGGAAGGATTACGGATTTCCAGAGGAAGTAACTAGCGACCGGGGCCAGCAATTCATCGGGCATTTCATGAGCGACTTGAGCAAATTGCTGGGAATCAAGGTTCGATCCTCATCGGCGTACCACCCGCAGACGGACGGGCAAACGGAGCGTGCGAATATGGAGGTCGAGCAATACCTTCAAACATTCTGCAACTTCCAGCAGAGTGACTGGTCTGACTGGCTTTCCCAGATAAAGTCCTACATACCCAAGGGTACTAAGTGGTATATCCGTGCCACTCCCTAGGCACAGGTGTCTTGTTGAACTTGTGCCACCCTCTTGGCCTTGCCAGCTCATACAGTACTATCCTATTTTGATCAAGTGTCTGGCACTTTTTCAAAAATTTGGGACCAAAAAATTTTCTTTTGATTTATAGCGATTTTTTGAGAAGGACTTTTTTGGTCAATGTAATGCGTAACGCGGACACTTGATTGAAATAGGACAGTATATCAGCGAAAGACTCAGGGTTAAAAATTGCCTTAAATGATAAATCAAAGGGAAAAATTCGGGTTTGAAAATTTAAAAGGCCTCAGACATTTGATCAGCATAGGACAGTCACTGGGCTGTTTCCATGATTTTACCCCTATGAAAAGTTAGATAATTTTTTAAGAAATTTTAATAAATTTTTTCTGTGGGAAAATTTGGAGAAAAATGTCAGAAGAAAAACTTGAGGTCTTTTACTTGATAATTACCAAGAAGAAGAATGTCAGACTATATAAAGCATAGCTTAGGACAATAATTTCAAGTTTTTTCAAGTAGTTTTTGCCAACAAGAAATTAGAAAAAGGTCACACCGGGGTTTCAGCCAAAAAATGGTCCCCTAAGCAGGATTTATATATAAGAAATAATGGTCCCAAACAATGGCCTTTTTTTGCCGCTTTGATTAATATACAATAAAAGTAGCAAAAATTGTATCTGATTTGCAAGAAATCAAGTCCCATATCATGGTATCAAATATCACATACATCATGACTACCCCATTGCAGACCATGTTTTGTAAACAATAAGTGCACATTATTCAAGCCCAAATATTTGGCAAAGAAATAGTGTCACATTATTATTACCCCAATTTGTCATATATGGGGGTGATTTGTCACTTATTTCTGATATATTAGGTACACTTTGGTGCTGGCCTGGACTTTTGATATATATGGTCTTATATCTTGTGACATGTTCGGTGCATTTATTTCTTGCAAATCATTGCCACAAAATTGTCAGCTGATATCAGCTCTGAGTTCAGTCCAATCTGATAACCAATTCTTTACCAATCAAGTCTATTTTCCTGGAGTTTTATTTATTATTGTTCCAAGTTGTGAAAATATACATTTTTGTCCACTATTTATCATAAATTAATCCTACTTCAGGGCCTATTTTTTGGCAGAAACCCCAGTGTGGGTGTTTTTAAACATTCTTGCTAGTCAAATATTTCAGATTTTTGACTAGTTAAGATTGTTGCACAAATAATTACTTTTTCTCTCTTTTCTTTAGAAACAAAAACTTCAAGTTTTTACCCAAGAGAGAAATTAGAGGGTTTTTCTTCTCACTTTTGCTTAGAAAAAAACTGAATCAAAAACTTCAAGTTTTTTCCTTAGATAATTTTGAGTTTTTGCTTATAAAAAGTTAGAGAAAAAAACTGATCTTTGAAACATTCAACTGACAAAAAGGGTGGGAAACACCTGGGATTTTTTAAATAATTTTTCCTTGGCATAAACTACCTGCAAAAAAAGTCAAAATTATGGTCCTAGTTGATCACTCCATATACTTATAGTCTGACATTATTCTTGTAATCACTAGGTAAAAAACCTCAATCATATTTTTCAGGCAAAAGTTGGTAAAGGGCCAATGTACTGTCAATATCAACCATTGCTTCTCCCAATCTTTCACAGACTTATACTTAGTTCGAATCCAAGTCGCAGGGCTATGCACTCTTGACAACGCCTGCGTAAGTTTTCCTCCCGCATTACATGGAGTCAACTTTGCGGAGAGCAGATTGCGACCAGTGCCGACCACTGGGAAGTTTGCGCACAATATTAATGGATTCACGACAATGTACCATAGTACAATTGAGAATCGAAAGGGGCAATTAGTATTCCTCGCATGCGATTGAAAAAGATTCAACAGACTGAAACATACATATCAGCAAACAACCTCCACCACATCCAACACACTGATCTGCTGCAACTTCTTATACACTACACTGCCTTCCTCGCAGATGTCCCTGTTCTGCATCTTTGATGCAAGCTTCACCATCCGGCGCGCTAGCTCCTCTGAAGCACCCGGGGCCCACTAGGGATGAGCACGGGTCCGGCTGACCCACGCGGGTTGGCGGGTTTGAGCCGTGCGGGTACGGATCCGGGTCAGTTGTAGCTTGACCCGTGCCTACTCAGTCTAGCTGGCTTATAGTCGGCTTTCCCGTTGGAGCTCTACCAAGGGTCCTGTGTTCAATTCTGCCTCTTGCCCTCTTTTTCCTCGGTATTATTTGTCACTAAATTCTTCCTCCACCTTGCAACCCCGCGGGTGACCCGTACCCGGAGCCGCGGGTCACAGATCAGTGGCTGTGCAGGTCTGGGTCCGAGTCAGCCTCCGGACACCCGTGGGTTGACCCGTGCTCATCCCTAGGGCCCACCGGAGCAGATATGTCCGCACAACCATCTCCGTTTTTTTACCATGCCCGCCCCCGCGTCAAGTGCAACAAGACAACGCGTCACCGGCGGCGCATCCGCTGGCCAACGATCGAAGCTGTCCTCCTGTCTGAACGGCAAATGTGTCACCTGCACTTCGACCGGGTGACCGGCAGTACTGTAAGATTTTATTCAATTTGTATGTCACATGTCACACGACCGATTTTATACGAAATTTTTTCATATGTCACAGCAAAAAGTGGATTTTGGCTTCCCAAAATGGTAATTTCTCACAATTCCGGCGCCTTCGGTGCGCCAAATTGCCAAATGGGGAACATCATACAAATGTTTTCGGACATCAATGTGTCACAGCCCCCTGGGCCATTTGAATAAAATCTCTATGGGGGCTCAGCAGGTGCTTTTATAACCTATGCAACCACCTATCTTAGGTAGTAACCCCACCTAGGATAGGTTATATTTCAACCTAGTTAGGTTGCTTTGTAGGGTGAGAAATCAACCTAAACTAAGGGTGGAAAACTTACCTAAATCGGCCGAATCTAACCTAAGCCCTACATAGGGAGGAATAGGTTGTTTCTTAGGTTGATTTCAAATATTATAAAGGAAAAGAAAGTATCGAGTTACAACCATATAGTACTCCATTACTTGCTCTAATAGAGAACATTAGACATTCTGAACTCAAAGAACAGCTAACATTTTTATACTTAAATATTTAATAAATGTGCATATAGGGGGTTTGAACCAGCCACAATAGCATTTTATCTAAACTACTTTATAACCACTAGACTAAGAGATAGTAGTCAAAACTATAGCTCTGATATTGATATTGAGACCAAACATTATAACTTGACATAAGGCCTCTGTCATTGAGGAGTTACTTTGGGACTACAATATATAGATTTGGTGCTTACAGTATGATAAGCTCTGTAATAAAGTGTGTATCAATATTCACTGACATTATGCTCTGGATAGGTTGAAATTTGATCTAACAGGTTGTTTTTGCATTAATGTGCTAAACCTCTACATGGGGAAAACAACCTACTCAGTAGGTAGAAAAAGACTTGGTATGAAATTCAACAAAATGGTGTCTATGCTTGTATAATCTATTCAACCTAAATAGGTGAATTTTCAACCTATCTAGGTTGTAAGTAACTTATCATAATTTTTTTTTTTCAAAAACCACCTATCTGTTAGGTTGAAAAAATAAATGATTTAAATCTTACAGAAATGTTGTCTTTACCAGTCACCTAAGAGCCACCTAAATTAGGTTGAAGTGGGAAATACCTCCTAAAGGGGGTGGTATTCCAACCTAGATTAGCCCCATAGTGAATCTTACAGTATAGATGAATTCCAGCACAAAGTCCGTCCGTCGGGTTTCGCGAATATACGCCAGTTGTTGCTGGAGGAGCTCAAATGAAGAGCACATGTAATGTTGCTGGATGATCAGCCGCAGGAAGCGGTCGTCCCGCTTGTGCAGCAAGGTGTCAGAACTGCCAGGAAACTTTGGGGAGTATGTGATAATGCTATTCAAGAAAAAATTAGATAACACGGAAGGTCGAACGGAAAACTTACGGGTGCATCGTGTGCGATGTCCGTTTTGACGCCATGCTACCTTTTGGCAAATGGAAGAGCAGTAATATGACTCAACGCATTGGGCACATCGTTTGAATTTGGCGGTAGGTTGAATGATGTTACACTATCATTTTCAATATTAGTCACCACTGGGAAAGCAAGCGAATGTGACCGATCTTACAAGGTGGTTATCGCAAGCCCTAAGCTCCGAATGCGCCCCCGACCTGAATTTGTCATAGTCGCACAGACGGGTGGCAAGTAACACCATGATTCCTTTATATTCCTCGTGTAGTGGAGTACCCAGAAGTTCATCGGTCCCAATTGGCTCCCAGTAGTCCGCTGTGCTGAGCATCGCTTTCTCGCCTTGAGCCAGGGCACGTACAACGGAGGAGTAGACCATTGCCGCGGGCAGTGTTCTGGTTAGTAAAAGTTTGAGTTGGTTCAATGCGTCTCGGGACAGTGGTCGCATCCGTTGCGACCTCGCGCAAGCCATTATTGCGGGGATAAGGTTGTTCTCAAAAGCGACAGCAACGTCGGGGTAGAATGGTCGAGAGGAGAAGATCAAGACAAGGCAGGAGAGGATGTCGTATATAGTATTCTCCCCCTCAAATAGGTCGAGAAACTTGGTAGATGCTGCATGGAGTGCGCGAATTAGAATAGGGACGCCGCCAGTCTCCGCTAACACTCGCGCCCCGGAAGCCCTTTCCGCGAGATGTTTGGCCATGTGCGCATGAGCGTTGACCTTAGAGGCAGTAGCTGTATCGGCACAGCCCTCAATGACCTGCGAAAGGTGCTTGAGCACGATGGAGCCGAATGTACCCAGGGACTCGAAGTTGTCGATGAGCTGGTCCACGCTGTCGCAGTCGCTGTAGTAATACGCGAGGACGAAACACAATCCATCGGTGCTATGGCACCCCCAGCGGTTATTTGGCATCGAAGTCAAAGCCATCCAGATCCGAGCGAAGACCCCGTGGAGACTAGGCGCGGCTTTGTACAGCGTGTCGACGTTGCAACGCGCGCCGAAGTAAGAGAGGCAAAACAGAAGCGTCGCAAATACTTCTGTTATGGGGCTTCCTACTTCCAACGACGTGCTCGTGGCATGTGCCTCCATAAACTCTATCCACTGCCAGGCATGCGACCACAAGTCCAGTGCAGCCACCTCCGGAATTTGCTCGACTCGGAGGAGAATTCTGAGAGACTCATACGCCGGTTTTATATGCCAGTGTGTGCTCCGCATGCACCTCCCCTCCAATGCTTGGTCGTCAGGGATGCGAGCGGGGTCGAGGTTGTCGTGGACAACGGGGAGGTATTTCTGCAACGTATCCGCATCCATCTTCTGAAGTTTCGCGTATAGTCCATTCCAAGCATCGCGCGACCCGCTTGCCGCTTTGACTGCTTGATGCTAAGTTAGCGTTAGATTGTAGATTCAAAACGCAAGTAGCCAACGCACACGGGCAGGACTCGAAAGACTCGCAAGGGCGTGGATACCGAGGAGGGGGTGCATTGCGCTCCGGGTCATTCAAAGACCAACCGCCTCGAACGTCGAAGAAATCCAAGGCGCGGTTGACCGTTGACTGGTCATCATCGTTGACGCTTATCTGGAAAGATGTGACTAGAGGGTCACAGTGATTGGTAATCAGCGATTGATCAGCATTCAAACCTGCTTCATGAACTCATGATCAGCGTATCGGCGTCCCTTCCGCCTGAGCTCGAGCGCCACATATTCGAGCTCACTGTCCTGCTACATCCTGTGACGGGCCCCAAGTTGATCCTGGTTGCTCAAAGGGTTTATGAATGGTGGGACCTTGTGTTATTCACAATTTGGCATTGGCGCAGGCAATAATCAATTACTCATCAACTACTCCATGTAGGCTTCTACCGTTTCTTTACCGTCAAATAGACCTTATTCAAGAGACCCACGTCCACACATTCCTCAGCGCAATGGCATCGGACCGCCAGTCGTTGCTGCTTGGAGTGCATGACATGGTGTTTCCGAATACCCCCACCACTCGTCAGCATCGTGTTGCTCTCTACACTGGGTTACGCTTTTGTCGCAACCTTTCGGGGCTCGCACTCGCAGCGTTTGCATCTTCCGAGATACTAGACCACCAAACTCTCGCATCTATAAATTTGCGGCGCTTTACTGCCTCGCTGTATCCGTATCTCCGCACGGGCATTGACCAGGGCTTACTTCTCTCCGCATTCCAACACCTGACGCATCTCCACTGCCTCATGGACACAGGCGACAACACAGACGCCCTCCGCCGCTTCATCGTGCAGCTGCCGGCGCTGACGCATCTCGCGCTGACGTGGTTCACCGAGCCGGGCTATGCCGAGCGCCTAGCGGGCGAGCTCCCGCGGTTGCGTGTTTTCATCCTCGCCGTGACCGCCGCCGAGTTCCGGGGTATATCGGCAGAGAGTCCTGTGTTCGACCGCGCCACCTTTCCGGAGCTCCGCGACCAGCGCATTGTCGTGTCGGTGTTCCGGCAGTGGTACGAGGGTAGCCTGAGCAATGCCTCTGTGACCGGTGAAAAGAACCTCTGGGATCTCGCCGAGGATTTTATCGAGGCAAAGGCGGCGGGGTCGGTGCCAGGTAGGCTCTACTCCATGCTTGCACTCTCACTCTGATCCTGCATCGTTGACAGCCAGCGAGCTCTGGGCACGTCCTTGACGACATCAGCATCTTCATAGCACGGTTGGCATGTTTTGTCCGCTCATGTATATTTGTCATTGCTAGGAACGACCTTGGTGTCGAATTTGTCCAACGTCATATAAATTTGGAAGAAGATGGATAATTGTACTTGCAAAAAGAGATGTCGGGCTTTCCAATAAGTAGGAAGCACAACCCACAGTATTCTGTAATGGAGTAAGCCGGGTGACCTTGAAACACACAAGTAAGCTGTCCAAGCCGCTTCCTGGATGCATCTCGCAGACGCTCCAAAAACCATAAACCATGCGTGCCCTAAGGCCTACTCTCAGAACCACATCCGCCCAGCTCATGTCGTTGTTTCCAAAGACGCCGTCCATCACTTTCTTCCCTGGGCAGTCGCCAGAAGCACATGGGACAGCCCATATAACGCTCCTCATTGCGCTACACGCGCCACTTGTAGCTAAGCAGCTGCCGACGAAAACGTATCCAGCAGCTGCCTTCTGCCCCGAATAGCAAGGCCAAAAGAATTGAGTGTGAAGGCGGCGGTCTATGGCACAAGGCTATGTGCTTGATACAGCGCTACATCGCGTGGTCGCAGAGATACTTCGTCTTCTTCTGCGATGGTGAGGGTCACGTGACCTGGCCAGATACGAAGTGGTGCATTGCGTGAGTTGTGCGTGAGGGTGGAAGCAAACTCGGAGTGGGCGTTGAGATGAACGCGACGACGAGCGTCGTATTGACTTCACATCGGCCAGCATGTATTGACGAGCGCAATCATGTGGAGAGAGCCTGCCCAGTACCTACGACGAGGACAACCGGACTTGGCTAATTGTCCTCGCTCTCATACATATGCAAGTTGATTGTGAGCAGCGTGTTTAGAAGCCGCGTTCGATCCAGCTTCTGGGGCCGCCTTGAGCAGCGCAAGTGTGGGCATACGAATATGCTGGAAACAGGCCTCTAACAAGAGTTTGGATAAGTTTTGGATGCCAATGGGTCGTATTGTGCGGTGCGGGATATACAACAGCTACACAAGCCCTTGCTGCCTCTAAGTTTACGTCTAGTGGGCGTGGTTCTTGTGGTGTTCTGCGTGAGGGTGATGAGGAGCAGTCGGAGAGAAAGAAGATAGCGGACGCACTGAGATGGACTGTAGAGAGATGAAGGACCGTCAGCATTAGGGCGGAAGAGGAGAAAAGCACGGAACGCACGTTGGTAGTCCAGCGTATACCCAACGAGCCAGAGTCCGCCAATCAGCATCAGAACCGGCTTCGCGCTCGCGTTTTTCCCGCTGAAGAACCGCCCCTTGATGCCAGCAGCCTTGACCGGCGCTGGGCCCTTCGGAAGCTTGGAGTAGAAGGAGACGAGCGGGCCAAGTGGGCCAGCGGAGTCGCCAGACTATCCGGAAGGTTAGCGGAGTACAGGGATGGCAGTGGTCACGCACCACGAGCTTGGGGGTCGCGATTTTGGGTGGGACGAGTCCGCCGAGGGAGCGTCGAATGAGGGAGGCGTGCATGACGAGGGAGGAAAAGTGTGACAAGTAACGTTGTGACTCATGTGACGCATAATAGTCACTGCTACTAGTAGTATGGTCGTCGATGAGAACAATCTAGGGGACCATGACTCCTCCCAGCGTTGAGACTACCCAGTCGCAAATGCTGCTCTGCTCTCAATGGAAATCAACTACCCCAGCCTGAAAGGGTGATGGACACTCGTCACAATCTCGGGTCCACCCCGGTCCGGAAATGGTCATGAAGCTCTGCGAGGGCCACGCGCCAGAGTTGATATTCTTCCGGATGATGTACCCAACGTCTTATGTATGGACTCATTGCGAAGCCTGGTCGCTTGAGCTGCCATGCGTCTTTTCCTCCACACTGCTACCCTCCTCGGCTCAGCTTTGCTGGTTGCTGCCGACACGACGACGACGATCAACGCAAAGTCGAACTACGGTAGCTGGGATGGGTGGGGGACATCGCTGGCCTGGTGGGCCAAGGCTTTTGGAACGCAAACAGCACTTGCTGACATCTTCTTCACCCGCAATACTGTCTCATTCAACGGGTACACCCTCCCTGGACTGGGACTCAACATTATCCGCTACAACGCGGGCGCATCGAGCAGTAACGCGGACCCAAATGGAGACAAAATGATAGTCTCTCCCAATATCAAGGCGTCGCGGCAGATCGATGCATATTGGGTCGACTGGACCAGCACCAGTCCGAATACCTCCAGTTGGATATGGAACGTCGATGCGAACCAGCGGAACATGATGAGTCTCGCCGTAGCCCGCGGCGCGAACCTCGTCGAGCTGTTTTCTAACTCCCCGGTCTGGTGGATGTGCTACAACCTCAACCCATCTGGTTCGACGAGCGGTTCATCAGACAACCTGGAGTCGTGGAACTACGACCAGCACGCCATATACCTCGCCAACATTGCGCAGTATGCCCAGCAGCACTGGGGTATAACCTTCACCTCCGTCGAGGCGTTCAATGAGCCCTCTGCGACATACTGGGTCGGCCCCACCGGGACGCAGGAAGGCTGTCATTTCGATGTGAGCACGATGTCAACCGTCATCGGCTACCTGCGCAACGAACTCAACTCGCGCGGCCTTTCCAACATCATCGTCTCTGCTTCTGACGAGGAAACTTACGACCTTGCGACATCCACCCTCAACGGCCTCACCAGCACCGCCGTCTCCCAAATCGCACGCGTAAACGTCCATGGCTATCAGTACGGCGGCGGGCGTCGCGACACCCTGTACTCCGCCGTGACCGCCAAGGGCAAAAAGCTATGGAACTCAGAGTACGGTGAATCCGACGCAACCGGCGCCTCCCTCGCAAGCAACTTGCTCCTGGACTTCGTGTGGCTCCACCCGACTGCATGGGTGTATTGGCAGGTCCTCGACGTGTCTGGCTGGGGCCTCATCACAGCAAACAACGACGCCAAGACGGTCGGCGCGCCATCTCAGAAATACTTCGTCCTTGCGCAATTCACCCGGCACATCCGGCCCGGCATGCGCATCCTCGACGCTGGGGCCTCCAACGCTGTTGCGGCGTACGACGCGAGTGCGCGTAAGCTGGTCATCGTCGCAGTCAACACTGCCGCCGCACAATACCTTAATTTCGATTTGAGTGGGTTTAGCACGCCGAGCACGAATGGTTCGCTGGTGCAGCGGTGGGCTACTCAGATCGGCAGCGGGGGAATGCAATACCAGACATTCAACGATACTTTTATGAGCGGCACCAAGTTTTGGAGTCGGTTTGATCAGAATGTTATCATGTCCTTTGAAGTGTCAAATGTGGTTGTTTAGTCGGAGTAGTGTCGATACTCAGGCTTTGGTCTTACTTCGCAATATCAGACTGTATTTATATATGAACAAAGTCACATTTACTAGGCACAGGCCTTTTCGAACCCTAGCCTTCTTTATGTGTGTAGACAATATTCTGCAGACAACGTCCTGAGCTCTCATCGTGACCTAGGAGCAAGCAGGACATACGCATAATTGGGCTGCCCGGTGCTCTCTCCGTCATCGCCCTCAGGACGACAGTAAGTCTCTGCTCGATTTGCTGATACTCCATCCGTGCTTGAGGCGTCAGGACTTGTAAATTTGCGCGGAGACGGTCCTGTTCTTCGGTGTAAACAGCTCGCACGGCAGCGCACAGAGGCTACTGACGGATCAGCCACAAAAGACACCTGCAGACATGGCGCACCGCGTAGAATGGTTCGTGGTCATTCAAGATCTGGAGGCATGAGATCATACGGCTAGCGGCGCCGAGGGCTTGATAACGCGAATCCGCAGAGGAGTGTGACTGTGGGGCGTGCAGCCTGAGGATGGCGAGATCAGTGAGCGCGTGTGCCAGGAGCAGGACTTGATTTGCGGTGGTCGTTTGAGGGAGTGAAGATTGGAAAGTGTCCAGTCGACTTCCCAGCGACATCAAGATTTCAGGATCTGCGGAGTATGAGGTTCAGGACACTGTCGAATCCGATATCGACAAACTGTGACGCGGGATGCAGACCCGTTCTAAAAGTGTTGAGGCTTTTGCTAATAAAGCCAGTGATGAACTTGAATAAGCCTCCGATTCCGTCTCTTGTCCGCTCAGGAACCGCGAGATCGTCGAGCCGACCTAGACTCCATCATCGTGTTTCTAATCCAATCCGTCAAAGACAACTTACTGTTGTGCCCGAAGGCCACGGTGTATCGATCCTTGTCCCATACGGTATGACTGACTCGCATCCGTCCAACGCGACCCAAAGATTTCCTAGTACGACAGTGGCCCAAAAGGCGTGGACGCGCTCTCCTGCTTCGATGGCGTCCACAGCAGGCAGCAGCAGCGTTTCGGCCAGGGGAAACACCGGGTACGACCCAGTTTCTGGAACATGAAGCATATGCAGCCCTGCGCTGATAGCGATTGACGCCGCCGCTGCAGCATGGTACCTCCCCTCAATGGGGCTGGCCGCCCGAAGGTAGTACACCGAAAGCAGGACTTCAGCCTGTAGCGTCTCGAACACGAGCTTGGGCTGGATCGCAAAACCACGGATGTCCGCCGGGAGATGATGAAGGGCGGCAGACAACAAAGGGGTGTCCAGATTCTGTTGGTGGGTGAGTACCGTGCCCCACAGATATATAACGTTCAACAACGCTGGCGACGGTCGGCTAGGATGGCCAAGCGGCAAGGGCAGCATGGCCGCTGCATACAAGCGCTGGGCATCCATGAACAGATGACTGCTGTCCGCAAAACTTTCCAGGAACGCCGCAACCCTGGAGTCGAGTGAGATTACATAACGAGCAAACTGACGCCCGACGAACAGCCGGCCTCTCATCTCCGGTGGCGGCTCCTGCACCCCGAGATAACGTCAACATGAATAGGACTTAGATAGAACAACAACGGCTCAACTTCTGGGGATTTTGAGTCAGTAGGGCCCGGGTCAGTGAGCACCAAAACTTCGGACAGAGTCAACCTCAGAAGAGCAGAAGAGCAGTAAAACATACCTGAGGACTCCTCCAAAAATGCGAGCCGCTCTCTCAATGCCTTTACCTCTTCCTGCATCTGGGAAGGAGTTTGTTGGCCGGGCGTCGCTTCTTGGTCAAATCGACATGGCTCGCCTGAGCGCGGTGGGCGGTTTCTACACTGCCCACAGATCGGCCGTGCCCCATCGCACCGCTGACCCCATTCAAAGTCAGAATATCGCGCCGGCAGTCAAAAACGCACGACTTTTCGACGCCTAACGGAAAGTCAAAGTGGTGGTAGAAGATGAAAAAAGCGCAGCGCACCTGCAATTGGCACATGCACCGCCGCGTTGGATATTCGGCAAGCTGGCGGATCCGGTGAGCGCCGCCATAGACGCAAAACGGACACTTGTGAATTCGAAGCAGCAGGGCGAGCGTCTGCCAGCCAATTGCTAGCGCGAGATGCGTTAACACGGGCAAATCACCCCGTTGGATAGCTCAAACAGAAAACAAGAGTGCGGCACTTGTCCCACGGAACGTCACCTAGAATTCCGAAGAAGTTCAAGACTCGCAAGGAACGATACGCGGGACGGCCAGACCGGACGAATATCCTTGCAAATTTGGAGAGCGATGCACGATCTGTTGCGAGTTTAAACTTGAAGGAGATTATTGGACCGATAATCACTCGCGCGGATACAGATTGGTCCGGGGCCCGTACCCAGTTCGTTGCTGATGATGAGGCTCTGGCTTGGCTCCAGTGGCCAGCTCGATGTCCGCTGCTTCAAGTTGCAAACGTCAGAGCTTAGACGGACTGTGGACGAAGATAAGTGTCGCGTTACTTTTATAGTGGGACAGGTCTTTAAACAGCAACAAGTTCGAGTGGTCGCAAGCTTAGCGCTTGAAGAAAAGAAAACCGCGATGTGACGTGTCACACTGTGATGCTGATTCAGGGATCACATCCGAGTCACTGTATCGATCGTAACCACCTTCAAGTTTTTTTTGCTTTTCCTCACCATTTGCTGTTGATTTGCTGAAACCAAACGATGCTGGGCTTCGACGACTTGCCATCGGAAATGGTCGCTTTGATTTTGGCACATACGCACCCGCGCCAACTTGTCGCCTGTCGTCTCGTGCGATCCGTTTTTTCCGCTATCTAACGGTGCTAAGTAACTGACTGCTAACGCAAGGTATGTCGCTTGTGGCACGATGTCATCGACGGCATGCCGGCGTTACAATACAAGACCGAACTCTGGAGGGACGGCCTGCTGGAAGGGAACTCCCATGGTCTGCGGCCCGACGAATGTCTTGCCCGGCTACGCGTCCGACGAGAGGCATGGAACAGCTTGCGGTGGTCCGAGAAGTATACGGCCCCAATGGAGAATCCCGAGGACTGCCGGGCGTTCGAAATGTTTGGCGGGGTATTCGGGCTCCAGGAAAGCGATGCGGGTCAACTGCAAGTGGTGACTCTCCCGAGGCTCGCAGATTCGGGGCACACAGACGGGACTGCAGGCAACGCTCTTTGGACCGGCTCGGTACACCTCCCCGGACATGTAGTTGAGGACTTTGCTATCGACGTGGCAGAGGACTTGATTGCCATTCTTCACATCGACGGAGACCAAGAGGGATTCGGAACACTGGCGCTCCGCTCACTCACGCTGCCCAATTTTGCCCATCCTGAGGCTGCTAGGCCCGAAATCAGATTCGTTTGCGACGACTACGAGGTAGAGGATATGACAATGCAAGTTGTTGACGACGTCGTGGCAGTTATCCTCCTTTCCACCCAGAGGCTTGTCTTGTTCGACTGGCGCAATGGCGAGTGCGTGCTTGACTGGGACTTTGCGTTCCTGCGCGCTATTGAGTGCCACCTACTTGCGCCTCGTTTGTTGCTGCTTGTTTGCAGGCCAGCGCCAAACTCAGGGGATTCAGATTCGACGGTCAATCTGCCTACTCCGCCAAGCGACATTGATGATGATGGGTGTCTCCAAATTCATGTGCTCCCTGATATTCTGGGGCTGGACATTGCCGCACCAATGCGTGTCGCCACGCTGCACCTCCCACCGCTCAGTACCGACCAGATCCAACTTTCGACGGCATCGCTCTTTGCTGGGGCCTACGCGGCCCGTCCCCCACCCCAAGCACCGTTCTACCAAGCTAACGACAGGCGGGTCGTGTCATTCGTGATCCGATATAGCCCAGGAGGGCGAATGCGACTTGTGTTCCATATTCACACTGTTCTCCGCCTCGTCAAGGCCTGGCGAACCGATGGCCAAGTTCGCGAGCTCCAGTGGAATGCATGGGGTCCGAAGGAAACAAGAATGTGGGTCGGCAGCTTGGATGCGGTCGGACTATTTTGGCCCAGGTACTTGTCTCTTTCTGTTGCGTTTGGCTATCTAATCATTCCTTCAGACATGTTCACGGTGAACGCCTCATTATGCCAACTGCCTCTAGGCGTGCAATCCGAATCTTGGACTTTAACCTGCCGCCCACTAGTACTGCGCCGGTTGGCGAAGACGGCACCATAACAGCAGCACAGACCTCCGCTGAAGGAGCGCAAGTCAGCAAGCTCAAATACGTGCTCTCTGTCGATGTCCAGGGCGAAGAGGAGGAGATTCCCGTAGACGACATCGAGCCGGACTGCAACGTACTTCACTTCCAAACCTCTGACTGTCAGATGAAAGCGGTCGCAACTGTGTACGTGCCTATTGCTGAGGCAGCAGACTGGGGAAATGAGCGCTCAGGAGATTTGTCTTTGAGGGACATGGAGCGCACCCTTGATATCGGTGTGTTCCAGCATGCGATGCACACATCCCTTCCGTATCGAGAAATCCGGCGCGTGATACGTCCGCACGGTACACGCCTACCGGGAGAGGCACAGACTGGTAATAGTGGTGTCGATGAAGAAGAGTGGGTTGATAAGCGCGATGCACCAAGGTACGGGATGGCGGTGATGGATGAACAATGGATTGTTGCGGCAGACACAGAGGTGGGTTGTTTTGCCGCAAAGGATACTTAGTTGACTTTTGCCACAGAATGATAGTACTAACAACCATGACATGGTGTTTCTCAAGATGGGCTGATGTGACCTGTCTCTTGTGGATAGCACTGACGACTAATCACACCGGGGTTTCTACCACAAAATCATGATAGGCCCTGAAGTAGGATTAATTTATGATAAATAGTGGACAAAAAAATGTATATTTTCACAACTTTGAACAATAATAAATAAAACTCCAGGAAAATAGACTTGATTTGTAAAAAATTGGGGCATATATTAAGTTATCAGATTGGACTGAACTCAGAGCCAATATCAGCTGACAATTTTGTGGCAATGATTTGCAACAAATAAATGCATCAAATATGTTACAAGATATAAGACCATATATATCAAAAATCTAGGCCAGCAACAAAGTGTACCTAATATATGAGAAATAAGTGACAAATTTCCATTATATATGACAATCACCCTTGTATATGACAAATTGGGTGATAATAATGTGACACTATTTCTTTGACAAATATTTGGGCTTGAATAATGTGCACTTATTGTTTACAAAACAGAGTGCGGAATGGGGGTAGTCATTATGTATGTGATATTTAATACCATGAAATAGAACTTAATTTCTTGTAAATCAGATAAAATTTTTGCAGCTTTTATTGCTTATCAATCAAAGCAGTCAAGGCCATTGTTTTGGACCATTATTTCTTATCTATAAATCCTGCTTAGGGGACCATTTTTTGGCTGAAACCCTGGTGTGAATAATTATCTTACAATTCATCATTACCCTATTATGATTATGATTGCTATAAATCTACCTGGTGGCAGGAATTGATATTAAATCAATTCATATGATATTATATTATCTCATGATATCAGATATTAACATACTCACACCAAGGTTTTTACCAAGAAAATGGGCCCTGAAGCAGGATATATTTATAATAAATAATGCACAAAGACAATGTAAATTTTAACAATGTGAATAGATGAAAAACATCACTTGAAGAAAGTGGACTTGATTTGCAAGTATGTCAAGTGCCGTGCAGAACAGAGGGGGTTTCTACTATAGCTAAAAAGCCAGTAGCTGCCTGACACGAAAGAACACAAGACCAACCGGACCGGAGCGGACAAGGTCCGCGAGCGGAGAGAAGTCCGGTTGAAGGACAAGAGAAGAGAGGAGAGTTGTCGGAGTCGTTCCGCACAGAAGAAGAGTGCAAGTAACGTTTATAATCAAGCTAAAGTACCGTAGCTACTTTAGCTGCTTAAATACTACGAGTAAGTAGAAAGGGAAGACCATAAGTAAGTACAAGGTACGGAGTGCATATGGAAAGTAACAAGCATAAGGACATACGGAGATATAAGTAACAAGGCGAAAGACATACAAAGTACAAGGTCGCCGGAGCGACCGGATCGGATCGGGCCGGAGCCCGGCGGGCCGTGACCGGTCCGCGGGCCGCGGCTCTTGATAGATGCACGGATATGACAGTATCCCCCTCTTAGGCACGAGGCCTGCGAGAGCCCAGAAGATTCGATGGAGAACCCTGCAGAAGTTTAAATTGAATGGTGGCAGGGCCGCAGCGTGGCGCAGCAAATGAATTGGCGGAGACGGAGGTGATGATCAAAAGTTTGTCGGGGAGTGCCGGATCGTGGTATATAAGGCGTGGGTTTTCGTGATGTCGGACCCATCTCCTTTCCTCCCACCATCACCATGGCAGAACGAGCTGTTTGTGAGTACTCCATTGCGGAGCCTACGGACGCGTACTAACCGATTTTATAGCTTGCTTTAGATGCGTTGCCGGAGGCAAGACCTGCGTCGACCAGACGCTCAGCAATAGCGTCTCCCTGCGCACCGTGCGCGAAGATCAAGATGGGGTGCGACTGGCCCGGAAAGGCTCCGAAGGCCAAGCGGTCAGTCAGACCAAAAGGGTGCGCGGTACCGCCAACGGAGGGACTCCGAACTAACCTTCAACATAGCGAGGCTGGCTTAACCAAAGACCAGCGCGAGGTGCTCAAGCGGAGCCGCTCCGAGCTCAAGCAGAGCAAGGAGAAGGAGGTTATGCTCACCCAGCTGGCGAACGAGCAAGGGCAGCACCTCCTGCGGCTGTCGAAGGAGCTCGCAGAGCTGAAGGCGAGCGTGAACGGGGAGAAGGTGGAGTCGCCGGAGCTGGAGGGCCAGGAGGGCGAGGGAAGTGGTTGGAGGGAGGAGGAGTCGCCGGAGGCGGAGGATCCTCAGGCCGCAAACGAGCGCGCCTACAAGGAGGAACTCCGCCGTCTATTCAAAGAGATAGAGGCAGATACGGCGAGGGAGAGGGCGAAAAAACGCCAGAGGACCGAGACTCCGGTCGTCGAGTCAAGCGACGACGACCAGAACGAGCAACCGGTACGCCAACGCCGGAGGGTCTTCCGCAGGAGCTTCGGCCCGCGTCGTTATTCGTTATTCGATGACGAGGCGGAGGAGTCTGTGGATGGTGGCTCCAAAGAGTCAAGTTCGGAGGAGGAGGAGGAAGTGGACAAGAAGGACAAAGGCCGAGCGAAACGCTCACTGGAGAAGGTCCGGGCCCGTCGTGCCCCTGCGACGATTGTGGTGCCCAACTGGGTGCCACCGATCATCCGGATACCCAACCCTCTCGATATTGCCAATTCGATGAGGGTTTCGGAGCTGGAGCGGGCGGAGCGCAAGCGCGAGAAGAGGCGTAAGCAAACCGCCAGGAAGAACGAGCGCCGACGGGAGAACAAGAAGAAGGGGAAGGAGCAAGAGAAGAAACAAGGACCTAGCAAGGGAAAGTAGGTAGTAAACGGCCAATGGTAGATAGAACATGGCCTTTGTAGATAGAATTTGAAGTCCGCGATACGTCCGAAAAACAAGTGTGAGCGAGCAAGTAAGCAAAGAACCGGAGGGAGTCCGAGAGGATTAGTAGTCCGGCCCAGGCTTGTCCGGGTGTTGACGATGAAAGCTGTCGATAAGCTCTTGAGCTTCTAAGTCGTCAGCGCCAACCCACGTATACTGCTCATCAGTATTTTCGTAGCCCAACCACTCCACGTAGTACCGGAGCTGAACCCGGTAGTGACGGTCAATTTTAGAGTCAACCACAGCCTTTACCTCGAAATGTTGTTTACCATCGACTTCAACCGCAGCCGGAGGCTCGTCCGTACGAGTCGGGAACAGATTAGGATAGTGCTTTTCGAGTTGAGAGACGTGAAAGACCGGATGAACCCCGCGAAGCTTTTGAGGCAAGCGGAGTGTATAGGAGGCGGAGGAGGGCTTGGCGATGATCTCGTAGGGTCCAAGGTACTGCTCAGAGAATTTGGCGGTAGGGCGAGTGGTAGAAATATGTTCAGCGCTAACGTAGACACTTTCACCAACCTCGAAGATCGGATCCGGAGTGCGCTTGCCATCTGCCGTTTCTTTGTACCGCTCCTGAGCGGAAGAGATCTGTTTTCGAAGAAACTCGTGAAGGGATTCCAAGTCAACGACGTAGTCCTTGGCATAAACATTAGCCACATCTCGTTCAGGATGAATGGTAAGAGATGGATTGTAGCCTTTGTTAGCGAAGAACGGAGAGACTCCGGTTGACGCATTGGGTGGGTTGTTGTAGGCGAATTCAGCAAGCGGAAGCAGGCGGTCCCAGTCGTCTTGTTGGTATGAGACGTACATGCGGATGAATTGTTCGAGCGTTTGATTTGCGCGCTCGACCTGTCCGTTAGCTGACGGATGCCAACCCGAAGTGTAGTGAAGCTCCATGTTAAGTAACTCGCCTAATGACCGGAAGAAGGCGGACATGAACTCTGATCCACGGTCTGAAGACACATGGGAAGGGACTCCGTGTTTAGAGAAGACGTGGATAAGGAAGAAGTGGGCTAGATCTTTTGAGTTGACGTGTTTGTCGCAAGGAATGAAAATAGCCTGTTTGGAGGCACGATCAACGATGACTAGGATAGAGTCAAACTCGCCAGATTTTGGTAAGCCCTCGATGAAATCCATCGAAATAGAATGCCAAGGTCGTTCCGGCACCGGAAGGGGTTTAAGTAACCCAAACAGTTTATGTCGAGGCTTCTTGTTGCGTTTACAAAGAACGCAAGATTGCACATAGTCACGGACGAAGGTCCGCAACTCCGGCCAGGTGTAGTCACGTCGTACGAGTTCGAGAGTGCGATTTTGCCCGAAATGGCCAGAAAGAATATGGTCGTGTTTATGTTGAAGGACACATACCCACAATGCATCGGAGCCGGAGCCGGTTCCGACCAAAGGGACATAGATACGGTCATCAAGTGGTAAGAGACCTGAATCGTCAACAGACCAGCATGAAGAAGAACCTGACTTTGCAGCCTTAAGACCGGCAGAGTAGCAGAGTCGTTCGGAAGAGCTGCGAGGATGTCTGTGTGCAGCTTCTCAGTATCCATTACGACCGTTGCTCGGAGGACAACATCCTCGAGATATGATGCGCGTAGAGACGTTGCGAGTTGTTCAGTAGCAAAAATAGGGTGCAAATTTTGCAGATTGACCTTTCGGTAATCATTATCCCCCTCTTTAGGGTAGACATCCCATCGTCTAGTTAACGCATCGGGTCTTCCGCCCAGACGGCCTGGACGGAAGCGGATCACCATGTTAAAATGGCAAAGGTACTCGGACCAGCAGACCTGACGACGAGTAAGAATCTTGGTAGTAGAGAAGTACTCAAGATTCTTGTGATCGGTTACGACATCGATCGGAAGCGGAGCACCCTCCAGATAGTGGCGCCAGATAGTGAAGGCATCGAAGATAGCCAACAACTCTTTGTCGTGCACGTTGTAGTTGAGTTCGGCTGGACCAAGGGTTCGGCTGCGGAAGGCAACCGGATGAATGTCGCCGTCATCCCCCGTTGATAGAGAGGATAGAGGCAATGGCATAGTCGGAGGCGTCCGTTTCGACAGTAATTTGCCGACCAGGCACCCAATGGTGAAGTATTGGGGACTGTTTAAAGGCATTCTTAAGCGTATTAAACGCCGCCTAGCAGTCCTCCGACCAGTTCCACTTGGTATTGGCTCGTGTGAGACGAGTCAACGGAATGGTAGTGTCGGAGTAGTAAGGAATGAAACGCC